AGTGTGTTTGTGGGTGTGTATACCCGTAGTGGTATGACACAGCGGAGGTGAGAGGGGAAGACGTTTCCAGACCATTCTTTCTTTACAATGAGAGTTCCAGCCGGTGTGGCTGCAGTTTCCTGTCTTTGTCCTCTGGTGGTCCTCCTATGTGTCGTCTCCCAGAGTTGTTATGGGACCCAGGTCAATCTGAGCCCTCACACTAACCCCGACCCCAGCCTGCACCCAAACCCAAGGCTCAAATCACCGACCGAACCAACCCCGCTCCCAAGCACCAGTCCTGACAAATTCATGTCTGCACTGAAGCCAAGCCAGCTCTTGGGCTCCGGCCAAAGCCTCCAGAGCAAGTCTCAGTTAAAACCTGGACTTGATATCACATCCAATGTTCCAGACAACTATGGGTTCAACAAGAATTTTCCATTGGCTATCTCCCAGCCTGCATCAAGCTCAAACACTAGACTCAAGCCACAGCATCCACCCAAACAAAGTTCTAATTCAAGGCAAGGTCTGGGGTACAAAGCAAATCCTTATCAAGTAACAACAAATACCATGAGCAGTCCTAAGCAGTCTTCAAAAATCAACCCAAAACCAAGGCCTGGATCACTGCTGCAGCCAAAGTCAAAGGCTGTGATTGGCCCTGAGGGCGACACTGATACAGCCCCTAAAACTAAATTATCTTCATTGTCCAGTCCTAATCAGAGGTCTAACTCATCTGGCACTGTCAACTCCAGGACCAACAACAGCCCAGCTTCACTATCCAGTCCTAAATCCTCTTCCAAACTCCGATCTTCTTCACAAGCAAATGCCAAATCTAACTCAAAGACCTTCAGCCCAAACTCCAGACCATCACTTACAGCACAAAGAAACCAGACCAGGTCGTTGGACACAGACAAGGATTCCCACCATTGGCCCAAGAGAAGCTGGATCTGGAACCAGTTCTTTGTTCTGGAGGAACACATTGGACCTGAACCACAGTACATCGGAAAGGTAAGAAAGAAAGATTGTTTTCCTTCCCATTCAATTAATAGCACCAAGAAATACACTTTATTTTCCTGATATCCTATTCGTCTTTCCTGAACATGTGTTGAGCACAAAGCATTTGATGTCATCTTAATTTAGATGATGTGCCTGGTTTGGAAGCAAAATGCAGATTCTGTTGTTTCTTGTGCTGCTTCCATTTTCTCTATAAAGATGCTGCTACATCCTTAATGCAGCATCCAGAATCCATTTGTTAAGGGGACATGCATTTTAATGCATTCTCACATTACAGGAATTGTTTTTATTGCACAAATGTTTTTGGAAAGAAGCAGCAGCATGTGGTGCCTTCTGCACATTTTTTAAAACTACCAAAAGTAGTCATGAAAATCAGAAATTTCATCATTCTCTTACAAACCTGTCAAAATTAGGTTTGTTGGAAAATATTGCCGAATCGCCACATTGTGTTGTTTCTGGCAAAGCGTTTGTTTGATTACTGTTGCGATGTGTTGCTGTGTGGGTCTGTACCACATTTGGTAGTCGTTCTGAGAACAGCTGGTGAGGTCAAAAGACAGTTTCTGTGGTTTTTGTTCAAAAATGAAATCGGCAACCTGTGGACAGTCAGAGAAGGCAAACAAATTGAAAAAGGGAACAGGCAGTCAAACAAAACAAACAGGCAGAGATTAGTGCCGGGGTAATCGAGCAAATGAGTGAAGCTGGGAGATTGGGGTCAGATGCAGGAAGGTTTTAGTGAACTGAATAAGAAAATATTAAATATAGAGGAAATCCTGCTAGTATGTTCAGCACATTTCTTTCTAGTGCAGGTCTCTTTGGATTGAATTTTTCTACATATTTATTCAAAAAAAAAAAAGTTTTTCAGACAGCGGTGAAGTGGTTAGCGCTGCTGCCTCACAGCAAGACGGTTCTGGTTTAAACCTTCTGGTCTGCTGGGGCCTTTCTGTGTGCAATTTGCATATTCTTCCTGTGTAGCATGCATATTAGGTTAACTGATGCTTCTAAATTGCCCGTAGGTGTGAATGTGAGCATGAGAGGTTGTCTTTCTCTCTGTATTAGCCCTGTGACAGATTTGCTGACCCTGACGACCAGGCTGTGCCTCACCTCTCGCCCCTTGTCAGCTATGATTTTGCTCTTATTTGTCTATTTACTGCACCTTAAGGATGTTAAGGAGAAGAAAAAAAAGCTCTCATAAACCGATGCCTTTTTGCGTGTTATTCTCAAATTAGACAGGATAATTTGTCTTAGATTGATTTATTCCTATGCTCATTATTTCTCCAAAGGGACGGGGAGTTCAGTAATCCCTGAATAAGAAGGTGATTTATTTTTGATGAGGAAAAAGTAAAGAGTATTGTGAGCAGCAAAATTTTCTCCTCAGCTGATAGAAACAAGAGCGAACCAAATCATTTACATGCTGGCCAGGACTCAAAGCTTGGCCCGTAGAGATGCCTAGATTAGGGTTGGGAAGGTTTAACAGAAGAAGATAAAGAACCAAGGCTTTCCATCACCTTCAGGACAATGCTAGCAGGGGAAGAAGTAAGAACTTCTGTTTAGTCAGCTTTTGGCAGATTCTAAGAAAATCCCATTAGGATTAGGACCTACATTTTAAATGCACTTACAAATAATACAACAATAAAATAATTAGTGATGCACGATATCAAAATTTCTGGCTGATACCGATATCCAATATTAAGATTTCTGATATCGCGATAACCGATATTACCGATGTCGATATTCAATTTTGTTCACACCAAAAAATTGTTATAAGTAAGCACTGTGAGAAAACTATTGAAAAGAAGTTACCAAGTTAGACCACATAGTCTTCTTTATTACATAACAAAAGTAAAACATATTTAAACATATTTAATGTTCAAGTCCACGACCATTTAAGTAAAAACATCTGTGAAATAGAAACCAATGTCAACTGTAGAGACGACGGCACTAATGTTAGACAATCATCGGTTTTTCACATCGGCTAAATTTGTTCATCGGACTGATACAGACATTAAAAACACTAATATCGGCCGATACCGATGTGGTCGCCGATATATCGTGCATCCCTAAAAATAATAGTTTGAGTAGAAATATGATTTTTAACAAACATCATTAAAATATTTGCTTTTTTTTTGCATTGCTCGCATCAGTTTAATGCAGAACATTTAGTAGATTGTAAAAAGTACCGTGCGTCTCAGCTGTAATAATCATTATTTTTGCAATGATATCTGTGTTGTGTATTCTACATGTATTATTCATTAGACATACGCTGTATACTGAAGCAAAGTCCTCCACTTTTTGGTGCGTCTTCAAACAGATCAGCGCTTCACAGTTACCGCAAGCCTCCAGTTGTTTAATTGCTGTTATTTCCCACTATTTTTTTTTTTTTTTAAAAAAAAGGTCAAAACACATTTTCTGTGGAGAATGCAAATAAATGCAGAGCTGCAGTTTGAAGTGGAAAATGTTGAATATCCTTCAGGAGGAAAAACTGTTAGAGAGCAACCTCAGAGGGACAATCAAGAAAAAATGCCTAAGCCTATTATCCAGTACAACCAACCAGGGGAAGTCTCTCTCTGTGTAGATCTGAGGGAGGGATTAATGTAATGAATGTAAAAAACAGAAGTGTGTGTGTGGTACTCAGATAGAATGGCTTATCCTTGCAAATGTCAGTGCTTTAACAGCCATTGCATTTCCTGGCAAGACACAAACCTCCACTGCACCAAGTGTCATGACATTACCAGAATGCTAGCGTTTAGACTGCACACAATTTGTACATTCGGTTACAGATATAATAGCTATATGTTCTTGAGTGGTGGAAGGCCCTGAAAGGATTGGTAATCCAGTTAGTCAGAATAGCTTTATGCTGTAGAATCCATTTGTCATCATATAGCTAAAAGCATTTTACTGGAGAAACGCTAACATTTGTCTCCATGCGCTTACATTTTCTGGCAATGTATGAATTTTGCTTTAATTCAAAGAAACGCTCCACTGTGGGATCATATTGCAGTATTTTAGATTTAAAGCTTCTTTGATGATGAACACATCTTAGATTTTGGTTTGAAAGATTCACTATCAGTCAGATGCAGCTTGTTTGTTGTGCACCAAGAACTGTTCATTGTGTTGGATAGACTGAGCGATGCACCGCTTTCTGTACGCTGGAAATGAATACGTCCTGTAAGTGCATACTGTTTTTTCAATGCAGCGTATCTATGTACATACGCTGCATTGAAAGATGCTCCATCATTAGGTGGTGTTTATGTAATCCCTCTATTCAGGCATGTCTGTCTGAGCAAGATGTAAAGTATTCCATTGACACTGTTTTTCTTTTTTCTTAACATATCTGAACAAGCAAACATTTGATTCTTCTTTAAACTGTGTAGATAAATGTTGTATACTTGATTTACCCCCACAAGGAAATTTGGCTTTTAAGCAACTTATTGCACAAAAATAGATTTAATATTTTTCTGTGGAAAAAAAAGCAAGTCCTCAGGAGCTAGTGTTCCCAACTTTAACAGAAAAACAAACTTCCTGTAGGTTTTTGCACAAGTGTCCATAAATCTTTAACATCTGCTTGCAAAATGTTAGACTGATTAAAACCCTTGAACTTGTCTCTGTGGATCAAACTTTTAGATATTTAGAAAATGAAAATAATCCATTTCTGCCCTAAATGGTTTAGATGTAGCTCTACACTCTACTCTGGTTTTCTTTACACCCTGTTTCTCTTTATCTTCTAATGAAGAATAACGATACAGACAGTTTCACCCTGAAAGTTGACCAGATTGGTTCTTCAGATATGTTACATATGAATCCCCAGAAGTCTGAAACCATGTTTTCAAAAGTAGTCAGCGACACACACTGCAATTGCACAGTGGAAATGCACAGGTAAGGTACTTATTTCGCTCATAAGACTTTAGAATGTAATAAAAAATAGCAATAATAACACTATATGGACATGTTAGTATTAGAAACAAGATTTTATTTTATTTTATTTTTTTCTTGACTTGACCTTAACTAGCTGCAGGGTGGGGAGCATAGCTCACCACGCTAAGCAGGCCCCTTCCTGCACCGGGCAATGGTCCCGGAGTCGGAGGCTCTGAGTTCGAATCCCGCTCGGGGCTGATAACACTTTTTTTTGGGCTGCAAGGTGGCGCAGTTGGTAGCACTGTTGCCTCGCAGCTAGAAGGTTGCCGGTTCACGTCCCGGTGGGGGCACCGGGATCTTTCTGCGTGGAGTTTGCATGTTCTCCTCGTGCAGCGTGGGTTCTCTCCGGGTTCTCCGGGTTCCTCCCGCACAGTCCAAAAACATGTTGAGGTTAATTGGTGATTCTAAATTGTCTGTAGGTGTGAATGTGAGTGT